ACACACACACACACACACACACACACACACACACACACACACTACAGTGCATCAGCTGCAGTGGCCTTCCAGGCCAGTGACAGATATAAAAGAAATCTTTTCTCTCTGACTGTCTCATTGCTGTAATGGGCCAGGATCTTGTGAATGGGTTTTGTTGCATAAGGACATGTCAGATGAATTTTACTGTTTACATTCCTCTAAGAACACATTGCATCGCATCCTTTAGCTCAATATACAGAGGATATTGAAACTTCCTATCACTTCATTGCATCTCTTAGTGCATTTTCGTCTTAGTTAGTTTCAACTCCACAAATTAAATTTTGGTTACACTTTATTTTAAGGTGTCCTTGTTACAGTGTAATTATACACTTAAGTACTGAGTAATATTAATTAACTACATGTATTTACTATATGGTTAGGGTTACTTGCATGTAATTATGCATCATTTATTGTTATTATAATAGTAAGTACATGTAATATGTGTAACAAGGACACCTTAAAATAAAGTGTAACCAAATTTTAATTTGTGAAATTGAAACTAAGATGAAAATGCATTAAGAAATTCAATGAAGATTCAATGCTTAAAATTTTACCTACATTTTTTCTATTATATGGCATTTAGACATACAGTACTGCCATTTTGTAATACAAAAAGTTATTGGTTATGATTAAATGTTATTATATTATTAATCATATAAAAATGTACCTACATTACAATCAATTTAATTTTAGAGTTCCATGATGACTATAAACAGTGCTTTTGAATAAATGGAGCAGTTAAATGCCAGTGCCAACCTCTATAATTTGAAATCTGTTCACAATAATTAAAATATCACAATGTTCTTCTCAGTAATGAAAGCACAGCATCAGAAGTGCATTTAACACATTTAGCGTGGGGTAGAAGATGCACGCTCATTGAGTAATCGGGAAGCTATGTCACAGAATTTCTATTTCTGGAACATATCCTACAGTTACACCCTAGCTTGTTCTTTGGCAGGTCCTATTCGCTGCATCACCAAGGAAACCGCCTCCCATATCCATGGCAACAGTCTCCCCGTCAATGCAGCTGCTGATATTAGGGTCCTGTGTGGTTGGAACCACCCGAGGGGAGGGAGAGGAAGTGAGTGAGCAAGGGCAAGAAAGGACGAGAAGGCTGATGCGAGTAAAGGAAGGGAATAAATGGCCAAGAAGGGCATCTCCTATTTCTGCATTTAAAAGACTGAAATCCAGAGAAGACCAAGTGTTGTGTTTAAAAACTAGATGAATAGCTGGATGAATAAACCTGAACAGCTGAAACACAGCGTCATTCAAGACGTCATCAGGGATCTCTGTGTTAGCTTTTAATCCAAAGCTACTGCCCAGTACTCAATATCCCTGCCGGAGTGCAGCACCTCTCAAACGCCTCTGAACACACCCTAATCACTCGCTATAAAAAGAACAACTATATGAGTCTTATATAATGGCGAATGGACCAGCCATCAATTTTACATGAGCTGCTGCAAGAGGATGGGAGAGATAGGAGGAGATGTGTGTGCGTTTGTGTGAGAGAGAGAGGGAGATGAAAGACAGAGAAAGCCACAGAAATACTATAGGGAGTATGAATTCAACCTATAAATATCACCAACTAAAAATAACTAATCCTAACAATTCTGTTCTTGAATCAACTGCTAATTTGATTAGATAAACAATTTAGTAAATGGAAATTTCCTTTCACATTAAGTTCTTTAAAGGATTAGTTCACCTGATAATTTTCTCACCCCCATGTCATTCAAGATGTTCATGCCTTTCTTTCTTCAGTCAAGAAGAAATTAAGGTTTTTGAGGAAAACATTTCAGGATTTTTCTCCATATAGTGGACTTCAATGGGGACCAACGGGTTGAAGGTCCAAATTGCAGTTTCAATGCAGCTGCAAAGGGCTCTACACGATCTCAGCCGAGGAATAAGTGTCTTATCTAGCAAAATGATCGCCGTTTTCTAAAAAAATAAAAATGTATATACTTTTTTAACCACAAATGCTCGTCTTGCACTAGCTCGACTTCACACATTATGTAGGAAAGGTCACGTGTGATGTATAGGCGGAAGCACTTGACCCAGTGTTTACAAAGCGAACATGCAAAGAAAGTCAAATGAACTTTACAAAAAAAGTTAAAACAATGATGTCGGACGATTTTGAAGTTGGATATGAAAATTAAATGGAGTTTCTTACACTACCCTACCTTTCTGAACCGAAATACACAGGCAAAGAACTAACCACGTGTGAAATTTCCAAAGTGACTATGTAATGCGTGAAGTCAAGGATGCGCATCACAGAGCTAGTGCAAGACGAGCATTTGTGGTTAAAAAGTATATACATTTTAATTTTTTTAGAAAATGACTGATTGTTTCGCTAGATAAGACACTTATTCCTCGGCTGGGATCGTGTAGAGCCCTTTGAAGCTGCATTCAAACTTCAACCCATTGGTACCCATTGAAGTCCACTCTATGGAAAAAAAATCCTGGAATGTTTTCCTCAAATACCTTAATTTAGTTTTGACTGAAGAAAGAAAAACATGAACATCTTGGATGACGTAAATTATTAGGAATTTCTTATTATGGAAGTGAACTAATCCTTTAAGCTTTTTAAAACCAAAGCAAACTAAATCAATCTAAATCAATCATATTCAGTATCAGAGATTAGTGAGAATACTGGGTAACACTCACATAGAGGCTTTGAAAGGTAAACATTATACAATGCAGCCTTACAGACAACATTAAGTTTAGATGATTAAGGGATTAAACTAAGCTTGGAAAAAACTTTTCTGTTCTCAATTATTTGTTTTTATTGATTTCCAATAGGGATGGATGTTATGGCTAAAAACAGATAAATGGCTGACACTGACATGCTATAGTATTTAAATGAAACATAAAACACTAAAATGTAAAATCAATCTTTTTAAATAATACAAGTGAATTCAGGCTTCTCAACCTAATGTAAAGTAAGAAAATGGGGTAAAACTTCAGTATAGGGACCAATTCTCACGATTAACTAGTTGCTTATTAGTATGCCTTTTACGTATTGGCTTTTTATTAGTAATTATAAAGCACATATTTTGCAAGACCATATTCTACATTACTAATCCTACCCATTACCTAAATTTAACAACTATATTACTAACTATTAAGAAGCAGAAAATTAGGAGATTATTGAGGCAAAAGTCGTAGTTAATGGTTTGTTAATAGCGAGTATTGGACCTTAAAGGGGTCATATGATGCGATTTCAAGTTTTCCTTTCTCTTTGGAGTGTTACAAGCTGATTGTGTATAGATAAGATCCCTGAAGTTGCAAAGACTAAAGTCTCAAAACCAAAGAGGACCAAAATGGATATTCATTTTGAGATTACATTAATTACATTTAACAATTATTTAAAGAACTGTAAGTGAGCATTAGACGATAGCAAAGATAATCTAAATATATAAACACCATATAAAAATAGCAAAAGAGCTTAATTAAATAACTGATGAAGTACTGATGTATTGTGCATCCCTGCTCTCCAAATATATCAAGAACGCTTCAACTTATAAAGTTCATAATGTATGTATATATACAGTGGGCTGTACCCACAATTCACAGTGAGATACTGAGATATTTTCTTACCTGTTTGACGTCCAGTATTGTTCAAACAGTGATTAACATGAAAAGAAGAAGAAAAGAACATCAACTCATACTTACAAAACTTTTTTTCTGCTAAAAATAAAAGGTTAAACACATCTAAAGAAATCCATTTCAAAATCTATGTGTAGCAGGTGAATTAGCAGACAGACCTCTTAATCTCATAAACATTGGATTGACAGTTTTGAACAAGACTAAAGCAGAATAAAGAGTCATATAGCATAAGATGGCAAGGAGTGACATACAGAAAGCTGTTCACCCACAGAATGATTAGAAAATGTACAATCCCACATAGACAGTTGACTAGTTGACACACATCTACAAGACATGTGCATTTTGAGGGATGCTGTGACCAAGAGAAATCGGAAAATCCAGGGGATGGTAAACTAAAGAATAACAGTTAGTCAGCTGCCAGTCGTGATGCATAGCGATCAGTGTGTTATGACTGCACTGAAATGTTAAACAACTTTATTATAAGAATGGATTACATGCAGCAAAGGTCCAAGCTATAGAGGACTGACACAAGGAAAGAAAGAAAGAAAGAAAGAAAGAAAAAGAAAAACATGGAGTACTTAGTGCCTTGCTACAGTATTTTCTGCTACAGAGATAGCTAAGCAGAGGAGGGCCCACTTCATTGAGCCATGCATTATGTAAATCATCTCCATACAGTCTTCATTATCACCAACCTTCCAGTAGGGGGGGCTGTGCTGACGGGGGCTCCTGCTGCTCTGTTTGTGAAGAGATGAAAGGCGTAGCCTCGGGGTTTAAGTTCACTGCAGTGCTGGGGGGAATTTTTGGGGAAGAGTGACTAACAGCTGGTGCACTCTGACAGGCAGGGATGTCTGTGCCGACGGACAGTGGGCCAGTGGTCAGATCAGGAGCAGCCTCTGGGGCAGAGCTGTGAGGGATGGGGGTTTTCACGGGGGTGCTCTGGGATGGGGGGCTTGCATCTGGGGTCTGTGCCTGCAGCACGGAGTCAAGGAACATAACAGTCTGAGTTGGACTAAGGGCAAGGGTTGACTTCTGGTCAGGATCATTTGGGTCCTTGGGTAACTGATCTGAAGGGTGAATACCAGGCAACTCTAGGTTAGACTTATTGATATCATCTTTAGTTGATTTATCCTTATCTAACATATCCCTGTTAATCTTGGGAGTTGAGTCATCTACGGGATTCGCGAATAAGGAGGTGTTTGCTTGCCCGGGCGGTTGGGGTCTGCATGCTTGGGTGTCCGTGAGGTGCAGAGGTTCAGGTGTGAGTGAGGGCTGTGCACTTCCCTGATCTATGCTAGCACTGGGTGGGGCTTTTGAATCACCCAAATAAGGGCTGCTAAAGTCCATGTCCATTACAGTTGGAGGAGCACTCCATTCTTCTGGTAGCTTCATCCTGCTTTTACTCTTCTTGGCCTTGATGCGTCCTCCCCCTCTTTCTTGGATCTCGCTTTCCCACATCTCTTCGTCCCTATTAGGAGGTGAGGGGCAGCCGTGGTTGGAGCTTTCGGAAGGAGTCTCTTCTGAGTCAGGGGAACCAAGACTGTCCAGAAGGTCATACATTTCTTCCCTGTTCTTGCGTTTCTTCTTTTTTCGCTTCTGCTGCTTTTCGGTTCCTTCATCGATGGACTTTTCCTCACCGGATGCTGCATCTGGACTCTGGGAACCCAAGGCATCAGTGCGACTCTGTTCTGCCTTGTTGGAAGCATGGGACTGCTCCGTAGAGAGCATTTCCTCACCTGTCCAAGGGCTTCCCCAAACTTCTTTGTGTACAGAGAGGAAGAGGAAGTGTCACTGACTACCATACAAATCATCGGACAACAAAATGTGTGCATCTCCAGCTCATAACAGCTATTAAGAGTCCAAAGAGGCATTAGATCAGCTACCTATGAACCACTGATCACTTGCATCATGTGGTGCGTTACACCAGAAGATGATATGAAGACAGACACTATCCACTAATTCACAAATTCACAATGAATAGCATCATCCAGTCTATAGTTCTAAACTCAGAAGAGAATTAGTATTACCCATGGGTTCCCTTGGAAATTTCCAATGGGTTTTCAGAGTTTTTTTTTTTTTTTCATTTTTGAATGATGAAATGATCTCTCATCCCAGATTAATGTTACTTGAGGAGGCTTTCACAACAAACTAAATATACATGCTACCCATTGTGTGGAAATTGCTTATTCTCCAGCTTGCATTGTGTGAAATATTACAATGGGAGACTAGCACCTTATGAGTTTCTGGTCCCGAAATTCTTTTTTTTTTTGCCTTTTTATTGTGATAGTACAGTTGGTTGACAGGAAGCGAAGTGGGAAAGAGAGAGGTGGGCATAGGATCAGGAAAGGTCCACGAGCCGAGATTTGAACTCAGGACGCCCAAAGCGCAATTGCGCTATATGTCGGTGTGCTGCCCACAAGGCTATTGGTGCCAAACCGAAACTCTGTGTTTATGAAGAATAAGCAGTCCTCATTTTACTCTATGATTTCAAATGCTAAAAATTGCACAAAAATTTATCTGTTTTTCTTCAGAACTTGCTAGGTTAAACAGACATGTCATGAATTATGGCTTCTGTAAAATTATCAGGTGTTCAAGGGCAGCAACTTCCCTGACTGCCAAAACTTGCACTGTGTACTCCTGTTGCCAGCTAGTTACTTAAAGAGACTACAACAAGCATGTGTAAATATGCTTGACAAATTGGACGTTGTATTTCCTATTTAACAACAGATTTTCAATTTAAGTATTTAACTTAGGCTTCAAAATTCTAATCTGAGGTATGACTGTTTGTAATTTACGTTGCAGAACAAAAGAAAACCCAGTGGAAATTCTCCAATGGCAAATTACCCTTCAAAGTTAGCTGTATAAACTGAACAGCGCTATAGAAAACAAATTTGGCTTTTCAATTCTTTGGATTATGTTACATCCTGATAAAGGCCTATCACTGATCTTTGCCAAATAGGTAGTTTACCCAAAATTGAAAATTCTGTCATTAATTACTCACCCTCATGTCGTTCCAAACCTGTTAGACCTTAGTTTATCTTCAAAACACAAATTAAGATATTTTTGATGAAATCCGAGAGCTTTCTGACCCTGCATAGACAGCAACGCAACTACCACGTTCAAGGCCAGAAAGGGTACTGTGTGGTACTGTCATGAACGCGTGTCAAAGACTGAGAGAAGAGAAGAAATTGTTGAATAAAGTAATTATTTTTGTTTTCTTTGCACACAAAAAGTATTCCCATAGCTTCATAAAATTATGGTTGAACCACTGATGTCACATGGACAATTTTATTGATGTCCTTACTACCTTTCTGGGCCTTGAATGTGGTAGTTGCGTTGCTGACTATGCAGGGTCAGAAAGCTCTTGGATTTCATCAAAAATATCTTTAATTGTGTTCCGTAGATGAACAAAGGTCTTACAGGTTTGGAACGACATGAGGGTGAGTAATTAATGACAGAATTTTCATTTTTAAGTGAACTATCCCCTTAATGTAAGATAACAGATCTGAAGATATCATGCTCATACTTGCTGCAGAGGGCACTTTAAATGGGTGTAATAGTTTCAGCAGTGGCTGAGAGAAAATGTGCTGAGACTACGATGTGCTCACTTGAGAGCACATCAAGTGAAAGTGCAAATGGGCAAATGAACTCATGGAGAAATAACAGGCACGGATAACAATAGAGGCAAGTCACAGAGAGACTGACTCAAAGAAAAGCCAGAGAGAAGAGTCACATGACATATGAATACCCAGTATATATCTCAGCACTGAGGGCAAATAAAGGTCACTGAAATAAACCAAAATTCATGACAAGACAAACACTTAACACAATGGTTGACAACATCAAAACACATTACATTTAGAGGGAAACAAAACCTACTGCTAATTGAACTTTGATCATGTTTACCAGCACTATAGTCCAGCCATCAAAGCATAATAAGATGAAACCTAAATTAATTTCTAGATCCAACCAAACTGTTTTTCTGTTTTACATCATATGATTTTCTATTTTACATGCCTTTCTTCATTCACTAGACTCAGTGTTCTTCATTGATCAAAGGGTTATAAACAGTCACTTGGAGGAAGTGCCAGTGGCAGTAACATCTATATTTCAGATATGAGGTCTAAAATGTGAAAAGGCTTTCTAAACTGGCTCTGGGCCAGAAGACACATTTCTCTTCTAAGATTCACAGCCATCACACTCAAAAAGTAATATTACAGAGTGGTCGAAGATAAATCTTTAAAATGCCTTCCACCATAATGCACACTTGAAGACATAGTGCACACAGGCTAGTCAAAGACAAACTGTGAATAACGATCATTGACTATTATGATCCATCATGTAAAATGATTTGGAATGGACATTTCACAATGTAGGATGTTAAGTCTAGTCACTAATTAATTTTTCACTACCCCTATTTTTCAGGTTACATATACTCATAGCATTCAATACCAGAGTTAACAACCTATTGCTTATCACATCAATAAAATCATACTCATAATAAGTGATATCTTGAAGACCATGAAAAGTATGAAGCGATTATCTTGTGACAAGATATTGATGAGGCATCCATGCCTTGACTGGACAGAGTGGAATGATATGAGAGCTGAGATCATACAACATTCTGTGACATAATAATCAATCAGTATCTTAATATCTGTGTTTAAAGTCTGTCTTACCTGTTCTAGACTGCAGTGAGCTGCCTTAAGTGGCGATAGACTTTACCTGCAGAATTTTCCAGGCTGTTACGAGGGCTTGTATCACTCAGATTAGCAGTTATCTGGGATGCTTTGGGTGGTTCATTGGCAAACAAGGGTGAGGTCTTCTGAGGTTCACCCATGCTAGGGGGTTTGGAGCTCTGGAAAGGGGCCATGCCAACATTCATATTCATACCAATATTCATTCCAGGCTGAGAGAACCCTGAAGCACAGAGCAGCAGAGCGATAGCGCATTAAAACTTAACAGAGCCTGAGGAAATGAACTGAATCAAACCCACAACCTTAAGTCAGCAAGATTAAACATTGCAGTGGTTACCCAGAAAAGGGTCCATGCTGTTGTCCTTCACAGTAGATCCCATCTGCTGGTTTCCTAATTGGACAGGCTTTTCAATCATTGATGTTGGGCCTGGAATTAGAAAGACTTGGACTAATGTCTAGCACACAATTAGATTTTTTTGGTGAACTATTTAATTCAGCTCTCTCAAGCAAGCCTGACATACTCAATGATCCCACCTGATTGAAAGTCTTTCTTATAGACATATTGTCCAGGTGGGCTGGTATGGATTTCTCCCTGAGGGTCCTGACGTTGCCCTCCAGTCTGGCCTGCAGACAAGAACCCAGACCCTGAGAAAAGAGAAAACGGACAAACTGACTCTGTATAAGTGCATCAACACTCAAGAGCAAAGGATTTATGCAGGAAATGCTGTAAATGCTTTTTTAGCGAGTTAATTCACTAAATAATGATGATCTGTTGAAATGTATAATATTAAGCATATTTAATTTTTTCATTTATTTTTGAATGACACAAAAATACACCCATAAATTGTTTAATAATAATTCTGTATAGCAATTTTATGTATGAAATGCTGAACTGCTCAGACACAATTCACAACACCCACCTGAGAATGACCCATCTGTGAATAAGAGGAGTGTAATATTTAACAGCAAGATGAACACATCCTCTTCATTAGTAACTTTAGTAATTTAATGGCATTTATTAGGTCCTGTAAATGTAACTTTCATGAAATCTGATTGACTGTCTAATTGAATGTGACCCCTGTCAAAGGCAGTGGGGAGGGGCATCCCTGAAAATAAGCCTGCTCCCATCCATTCCAATATTTCGCCGTTATGAGAAGGGCAACTGGAGATGAGTGATGCTAAGATGATGGGACAGGCTGGGACTGCAGGCCTGTTACCGTAGTTATACAACCAGCTGAGGCTGCTCTATGTTCCCTAGGCAAAGCACTCTGTCAGCATCAAAACTGACTGACACGAGGAGCCAGCACTGAACAAGCATAAGCTCAGATACCAGCCCTGGATTAATGATCACACTCCCACAGGACTGGGCTGTTCCAGCTCCATGCAATTATCCTCTTTGTGGAACAGGATCGGTGTACATGTCACTGTGAGTCACGCTGTGTCTGCTATATTAGCAAGGATGCAATGGGAATCTGTTGGCCAGGCCTTTGTGTTGAATGTTGATAAGGTAGAGAGGGGTCGACCTTAATGGGTGATTTGTGCGTTTATGCCTCAAGTAGCATGTTTTCAATCTTCTTTCTGCTCCAGGATGCTGATGGTGTACTAAAATAAACCCCAGCAGAGCAATGGCTACACAAAGAGAAGCATATGAACCTGAAAACAAGCTTCAGTTAAAAGCCAAAAAATGGAAGAGGGACTAAAAATAGTCACTTTTGTCCCAGACATGAGGCACTTGAGGTGCAGACTGCCAAGTCATGCTGTGGTAGAGAGCCTCCTTTTGCAGTTTAGGGGGGGAGCAGCAGACATCCTATTCAGCACAGCGTCAGTTATATAACGTCATAAACCAGTGCTGTATTGTGAGTATACCAGCAGCACAGACAAAGAACCAGAGAGTCTCTAACATGCAATATGGTTATGCAAAAACACACAAACATGATCGATAAACTACACAAACTTACAGAAATACTGTTAAAACTAATCAACTAATTAATGAAGTAGAAGACATTTTGAAGAACGCTGGGAACCAAACATCATTGGACCCCACTGACTTCCACTTTATGGACAAAAACCACTGAGACATTTCTCAAAATATCCTCTTTTGTGTTCCAGAGAAGAAAGAAAGTCATACAGGTTAGAATTCACATGAGGGTGAGTAAATGATGACCAATTTTCCACCATTTTTGGGTGGAGTATTCCTTTAAAGCATGATACACAAAATAATTCTACTTGAATCTACTTAATGTAATTTTAATTATTTTCCTTTATTTAGTTATTCATGTTTATATACCAACTACTCAGTTGACACAAGCTTTTGCAGTATTTCAATAACAACTAGACATAAATAACAACCAAGGTTGCTATTTTTGTATATTCAAAGACTAGATTTATTATTTCATATTAAAGCTAAATCATATTTAATCTAGTGATACGAGATTGCTTATATGTTTTTTTTTAGATTTTGTGAGTTTTTCTACATCACCCTTCCCACAGATCTCACAACTAAAATGAACAATAAAACAAAATGGTAACCCATGTAAAATTTATTATAGCAGTATATGAAAAATAATAAACGGGGTATTTTATTGCATGTTATACTGCACAATGAAAAATAATAATTTCTAGCCCAGTTGAATACCCTTGATGTCTGCGACATTCAACTGTTTGAAAAGGAAGGTCATATGAGAGCAGAATCGGACAAGAGCATTGCAAATAATGAGTAATTTGCCAGAATACAATAATTTCTTCAGTTTATTAGATGTAAGTCGATATAAAAATTGTATGATATTAAAAACGACATTAATGAAAATATATACGACTGTAAGTGTCATTTTATTATGATTCGAAGTGGCTGCACAGCCTTTAATAGCCAGCATAGTTATTGATTAATCATCTTAACTTGTACTTTGTTCTTTAGAAATGAGCCTCCAAGCGCTTGTCAACAGACAACTTACAATTTCCATAAATCTTTATTACTTTGTCAATAAACAAGCTTTATTATCTCACGCAACCTTTTCAGTGGAAAAAGCGTGGCAGGAAATATATTTTCCTTGCCTGCTAGCTGGCCGTAATGTTTTATCAATACTGACAACTTATGCTTAGTAATTGTTTCTCACTAAAATTTCAGGTCCAGCAATGATCTGATGAGAAGCTACTACAGAAACACAGGCTTTTGCTATAAGCTAACTATGAGATGCTACAGCCTTATCATACTGAGAGTGCAAGTCTTTACAGTAACATCAAATAAATGGCGATTTCTCTCTCTTAATGGAGGCGGAAATTTAATCACACTCGTTTGGATCTTTGGCTGAAGCTATTTAAAGTATCTGTCACATCTGCCGTAGACAGATCTGCTGATCTCAGCATCCACATACATGCTCACTGCTGCACACATATACACATACCTTGCTGTTGTTGAGAGGGCATCCTGCTGTATTGATGTCTAAGCATTCTGTCAAGCACAAGCCCAATATCATACTGTAAAGGTCAACATTTCTGCATATTCTCTTACATGTAGAAAACAAAACAAACACTTTCATATGATTAATGCAAAGAGAAATATAAAAGGATGGCCCAATCCCAAAAACCGAACGCTCAAAAGCTTCATCAAAGTTCATCTACCTCCAGCTATTTCATAGTCTTTATGTGACCTTTACTAAAATAGTTTGTTTCTAGATGTTTTACCAATGACTAACTTTACAAAAAGCACCAGTGTTAAACAATACCAAATTTGGCATATTTATTCAGTAGCCTAGACACTATTAGCGCTATCATGCATACCAGATTAAACTCTAAAACTGTGCCCCAGCAAATAATAAACACTTTTGAAAATAAATAGTGGTGATGGTTGTAACCCAAGAGGAAGGATGGTGTTCGCTTAACCGAACCGAGAGTTCACTCGGGAGGTTTCTTGGCAGAAGACAGCATGGTTTGAGGCGGCTGTCGAGGCGAAAAAAACATCTTAGGGGAAATTCTTAGATCTGAGATGTTGCCAACCATGATCAGGCGTATGGCCTATACAAACAAGCATAAAAGCAACCCAAAATACCTTGGAATATCAATGAGTTTTTTCTCATGAAACCAACTTGAACAGGATGTGAAACTAGAGGGAAGGAATAAAATGTGCTTCTGCCATTTGCCATTATACGTTTTGGCAGACAGAGAAGAGAGACACACAAATATACAACCACAAACAGCATCTACTTCAGATTAGATACATCAGATTACAGTGCAATGCAAAAGGAAGACAGTAAATTACAAAAGTGAAAGTGAACAGGCTGTTCCTAATGTTGCATTGTACTACAGAATATAACCAACATATCTGCATTAAACAAAAAGAAAGAAAAAAAGAAAAGTAGCAAATAATATTTATTATTATTTATATTTATTTATTATATTTTTTATTATTTATTATATATTATTTATATATTTATTATTATGTATTATTTATAATATTTAAATTATATTTGTAGGTTTTTGAAAGAAAAAAAACACACCAAAAAAGTCAAACCTGTAATATTGTCAAATATGATCAAAATTTTAATTAACTGCTTTATTTTTCAAATATATTTCAAAATATAAATTAATTGTTTAATTTATTAGTTATTTAAATGTATTAATTATTCCTGTGAATTTTCAGCAACCATTACTCCAGTCTTCAGTGTCACACAATACTTCAGAAATCATTCTATGATGATTTGGTGATGTGGAAAAAAATCTTATTCTCATTAATGTTGTTTGCTGCTAAATATTTTTGTGGAAAGCGTGATACATTTTGTTTCTTTGATGAATAAAAAGTTCAAAAGAAGAGCACTTATTTCAAATTTCTGTAACATATTCTAAATGTATGTCACAAATTATATACATTTACGTTGTTTTTTTTTATCCATTTGGAAGCTTGTTGTATTGGAAAAAAATTGCTTGGACATTAAATATCCTTGAACAATCCTATCCTTTTGTTTTTGACTAAAGCATTTTGTTATTGAATAAACATTAAGATGAGTAAATTTTCAGCTATGGAAAAAATTCTAATTTAAAAACACATACCTTCCCTTTTGCCATCCATCCCATCCAGAAGGGGGCGGTAGTCTGTCTTCCCAACGGTCTCGCCCACTTTATCATCATAGGTCTGTGCCTCCAACCCAGCCACAAAATCCCTCTTCAGCAGGCTGTCCTGGGTCGCCTTAGGTGCCCCGTCTGTGAAGGCATCACGTAAACTGAAGTCCATCCTCCTGTAGAAAAAAAAAGTGAGGGCGATCAGTGAAAACAAAGCAGGTCTGAACATCCAGCTGAAAGGGCATATACATACTCTCCATCTATCTTGCCCTAAGATAATCCTGCAATAAAAAGTGAATGGCCTATTTTTGATCCTTACACCTAACATTCATAAGGTTAATAGATAACAATTCATATCTTCAAATCAATGACCAATTTAGGATACACTCAGAGGGGTCATACACTCAAAGACTTCTCGTATGAAGGCTTACAACACACAAATATGGCCAGATGTTCAGACCTAGACAAATCTGATCATCTGCCTGTGCACCACATATTAAGATCAGCAGCCATTTTGAAGGATGTGGCTGAATGCCAAATGTACAGCTGTCGCACAAGTTGCACTTTAAAAGGTTAAACTGATGATTCCCTTTTAACAGCAGAACGCGAGAGAAAATGCTTCTATAAAACACAATTATATACTACGAGCATGTGAACCTGTTTAGGGTAGGACATCAGGTGCCACTAGACTAAAATTCAACTTCTTGATTTGCTCAAATTTATCAGTTCACACAAAACAACTACGTATTATGCCAATAAACAGTGTCAGTGAGAGAAAATAAAGAAGGAAAACTCAGAAAAGGATAGTGAGAGAAAGAAAGGTAGAGAGAGAGAGAGAGCTTGTCATTGTGCACTAGCCCAAGGCACATGTTTGTTTGCCATCGCAAGAGTTTCACTGTGTCTCATTATTTCTCTAGCTGTCACACTATCCACATTCAGAGAACCCAGATTAACACAATTACACACTGTCCTGTTCAACAAAGGTCCAAAAAGCAGCAACACTGTTGCGTGACGAACATACAAATCAAAAATCAAGCCGCCGTGTGTTTTGACAGCGGGGGGCAAATGAGTTAAGAGCCAAACAAATCTCCACAACGCTTTTGGTCAGACATTAATGTGATTATACTACCCAGAATCCATCTCCTCTTTCCTATTCACTTTTATTACTTATCCACATCTTTGCATTTCCTTCCACCCCTCCTTGATTTCCCCATCCCCCTGTATGTAGATGGATGTGAAGAGTAATTCTCTTGATATCCTGATGGATGGTAAGAGGCCCAGCTGGTCCAAAAAATGAAGGGATTAGAGGTAGAATGATTCCCCCTCATATTTGTCAGCCGGACTGAATCCCCTGCAGACGTCACAAAATCATCCCAAAACACTTACTGTAATCAGCTGTTTCTGTACAGCAGCACACATTGCGTACAGTAACATTAGACCTTATGAACATAAACTAAACATCTGACGAAACAAACTTTACTACTATAATCCTTAAGATGACCTCTTACAGAAATCTTTCTACATCGTCCCATTTAATTTTGTTGATAAGTCATATTTGGGCACATTTTAAAACAAATTTTCGTCTGGTTTTCTTATCAATGTTTTTTTAATATTATTATTGTTAATATGATCAGCTTTCATGTTATTTTAGTTTAGGTTTTAGTAATTCTGCTATGTTTCATTGTCATTTTACATTTCCATTTAGCTTTCAGTTTTAGTCATTTTAGTTTTAAAGTTAAAAATATTGAATAATTATGACTAAATATTAGGGCTGCACAATTAATCGAATTTCTAATCGCGATTACAATTATGGATGCCACAATTACGTAAACGTTCAAAGCGGCAATTAATCGTTCAAAGTCCACTTATGTTATTCTGCGTGCTTAAGATGTGTTTTTTCTTTCTTTCTACATGTTATCTTAAAGGGGTAATAGGATGCCCATTTTCCACAAGTTGATATGATTCTTTAGGGTCTTAATGAAAAGTCTGTAACATAGTTTGGTTAAAATTTTTCAATGGTAGTGTAAAAAACACCTTTTTTACCCTGTCAAAAACAGCTCTTTTCAGATCAAGCCGTTTTTGTAGCATTTTCCTTTAAATGTTAATGAGCTCTGCTGCCCCCGCCCCTCTCTTCCGAGCTGCTCTCAGAGAGACTGTTTACTTTAGCCGCATTCATCGTGAAACTTGCTAATTAGCACATTATTAGGAAAGGCGATTTGCAAAGATTCATTACAAAACATTATACTCACTTCTTCTGTAGATGAGGCTGGATCACGAATGATTCACTCAAACATAGACGCATTTATTTGCATCAGACAATGGCATAAACATCATTCAATGTAAATTGTGATAATCGTAATTAATAATCGCAATTACAATTTCAAGGGAATAATCGACAATTATGATTTTTGTCATAATCGTGCAGCCCTTACTAAATATTAATAAATATATTCAGTTATTAATATTAATATGGTAATAATATTTAGTTAGTTATAATTACAGTTTGTTTCCAAAGCAATATAATGTACGTTTATGTTCTTTAAGATTAAGTGTTTCATATACTATTTACATTTTATTTTATTTCAGCTGTATTACTGAAAATGTTTCAGATTTAACAATAACAATACTGTATTATTAAAGCCAGAGAGAGAAAAAAAGCATGTCATATGGCAGGTCATATGGTGTGGTATCCTAAGGTTTACTCATCAGACCGTGGCAAATGAGACACAGGTACATCCCTGCACTTTTACTGCTCTGACTCTGACACGGCCCTGTGTCCTGCTGTGATTCAGCAGTTTTTCTTTGCGCCCTGCGTGATGTCACCAGCCCTGGCACAAAGTGGCATCTCACAGAGTGCTGTTTTGGAGGGACACTCGTGTTCACTTAAATCATCCGTTTGATTCAAGAGGCCTGAACTCAGTGGGTGGGTGTATGCGTGTATGTAAGTACAGTGTCTGAGACTACACTGAACATCTGAGGCTGTATTAAAGAAACTACTTGTCTTAATTCTTGACTATTAGAAAAAAATTCTACTTCTAAAGTGAAATTACCATGCTACTATGCAGATAGGATAAGTCCTGTAATACAGCCCCGAGGATAGAAAATCTAACTGGAAATAAAAGTTTTGAGATTTTTAAAAATGAAAATAAATAAATGTTAATACATTTAAATTAAGAGGAAATATTAAATTTTCTGCAGTTTTAGGTCACTAATCAAGTAAGTAAATGTGTGACTGATCATTTGACTCTTTGTACACAGTCAGATGTTCTTCTTCCACTGAAGCACAAGATGATTGTCAGGTTTGACACACCCAAAAATTACATTCTGTCATCATTTACTCACCCTTATGTAATTCCAAACCTGTATGACTTTCTTTCTTCTGTGTAACATGGAGATATTTTGAGAAATATTGTTTGTCCATAAAATGACAATCAGTGGGCTTCAATGCTGGGTTCACAATGTTCCTCAAAATGTATCCTTTTGTGCCCCACAGAATTGCATACAGGTTTGGAACAACATGAGGGTGAGTAAACAGTTAATTTTTGGGTGAACTATAAAGTATATAAACTCCCTATAAAGTAAAGAAGAGAGAATATTGAGACATTCTTAAATTTATGTGATTTCTTGTGTAAACATAGAGATTCAACAATAAGCCAGATGCGTCTCTTCAAATGTCGCTCAAGCCAAATGCTCCAAAATCTAAACAGAGTCTGACAGAAGCGCACGCTCTGTCCTCGTGCGGTTTAAAGGAGAATGGCGAGCTCACAAGAGTTTTTGAGAAGAGACTACTGGGCTGGCATTTGGCAGCCATTTGTGTTGCTGTGTAAACGCTGTATTCCAACCATTCCTGTATGAATGCACACAGAACGTGGGATGGGGGTCTGGCTCAATGTGTTCCATTGTGTGCCAAAGCCACTGAGCATGCGGTTACTGGCTGCCACTCATTGTGACAGGGTTTATGTATCTGCGCCACTACCAGTCTCTGTCTGTCTCTTAGTTATTCTGAGTAAACGTGAGGCATCCAAAAATAAGGCACCTTAAACTGTCAAACTGCTGAGTTGGATTGTAGTTTTGCATTATTATCAGCTAACCTGATATTTTTGTAACAAAATATGATCTTGTATATTTCTCACCCTCAGCTTACATCATCGTCCTAAAATGGGGAGAGTGCTATTGGCCCCCCCTTATAAACACCCTGCCCATGGTCACAGCACAACAGCGGAGGTGGGGTGTCTGTGCGGATTAGAGTCAGAGGCCATCAGTGAGAGGAATGAAGATTATGTATGACGGGACGCAGGGCATCACAACAGGCCGGCAGGCCCTGATCTGACACCCCAGAATCACGGCTGTCCAGAAAACAGCATGCCATCTTACAGAGCTTCCCTTTCCCAGCAACATATGATGACACTGTTGGTTCACCCTATATTTATATAAAACAATCTTTTTTATTTTTTTTTTATTTACTGAATGATTTGTTGTTCACTACGGGACATTTTCATGTTCATGATGGAGCACAGAAAAAAAGTTTTGTATTCCTAGTCTTTAGGTTTTTTGTGACATTACAACTAAACTATGTGTAAATGTATTATGTATCAAAATAACAATTAGGCCTAACCCCTTAACTGTCACCCCCTTTTTTGAATATACACGAATATGCACTATCCAAACTTAAATTGTTAAAATTCATTAACAAATAAATTTTATAATATGATTTTAAAGTACCATTTTCTATGGTAATTCAATGTCTGATTTGATGAATTTTGAGGTTTTAAGCTTTCAGTTGACATATAATTTATGATTATTACTAAAACGTGATAGGGAAAAGGGCAACAAAAAACACATTTTGTGACAAAGGTCGGAACTCCTGTTATGATGTAGATTTTTCAAGGTGCTCTCTTGACATAAATTAATCTATTACTGTTCCTACATAATTTGAAAAAAAGAAAGAAAAAATAAACAGTGGCAAAATATCTATTTAGGAGTCTTAGACCTTTCCAACGATATATAGTTTGTCATGATTAGATTAGGATTTAATTGGGTGACAGTTAAGAGATAAATGCAAGTTCTGTTAAAAAAAAAAATCTGTCAAATTAAGGTCTATATTGCTACAGAAAAAAAAGAAATATCAGTTTAAAGTGCCCAAGCTGCTTTTTGGAGCTGGGTTGTTACCAGTCTGACATTGTCTACCAGCTTTGTCAAGGTCTAGCTTGATCTAGACCACAATTTGGTCTAGTTAGAAACCGTGTACACCAGCTACCATCAGAAGCATAACAGCACCACTACAAATAGGCTATTATGAAATATGTAGATTTTAAATGTTGCAGCTCATAAAAATATGATGATTAATGATCATAATCCATCAGAACAGGTTTAAAGTTTACCAAGCAAATTTAAATAATTTAAATGATTAATTAAATGATTTAAATAAATTAAAATACACAGTAATAGTTGAGAGTGATTTTATATTATTTATACAGGCTTTTGTTTGAGAGGAACATTATTATTTACCAGTGTATTGTTTATGTGCTACCTAAGATCATTTACATGTTAATGCGCAATCACACCCACTACGATGTTAGGCAAATGAAAACATTTGCAGAATGACCTTTCTGGCATTAATCACTGCTATATTTAATCCTGATATTTAAAAGCGAATCGATCTTTAAACATATTAGTCCCAGTTTACATGCAAAAATAAGAAAATACAGACAAGAATACAGACTCAAGAAGGACACCTTCCTTGTCCTTCACACCAGCTTTACCTGAATAAACACCACTGACATTTGTTCATGACCTGTATGCAAAGCAAACAAAGCCAGTCACAGTGCAAAGAAGATGAAATAATGTGCAATAACTGAATAAGGAATACGACGTAAGGGGGGTGTGGTCAAAGTGTTGTTCCTCTGTCCCTCTAGAATGCAACAATTCAGAATATCAAACGAGAAAAAGAGGCCATGAGGGAATCGCTACGTTTCATAAAACATATGAACGACTCCCACAGTCCGAGACATCCATATGTGACCCTCAGTGCGTCGGTTCCTGGTCGTGTGTTCCTTTTCAATTGCATTTTACAGCATGACGCATGTCCATGAGGCATGTTGAAGAGGTGCACTGCAGAGAGCCGAGCACGCGATGCACAGGCCCAGTATGAATGAGAACAATGCGATGCGACGCGACAAACTAGAACGCGCTTATTGCAATCAAACCAGCTTCGTTTATTATAACAGACGCGTTCTGGTTTGTCGCGTCGCTCGCTTGCAGTTTATATGGGGTGTAAAGCTCAAAACGTCCTTTATAAGGAACCTCGCACGATTTCATCATCCCACAATGTCCACAATGTTGAAGCAATATGTGGCACTGTACTGAAGTTATGTAACTAGAGTAGTTTTCTATAGAGGTTTGCTCCTGCGGAGGACACCTGTCCTGAGCATCCAAGCTGCGGCAGTGCCCAAACAAAGAAATCTCGGCAGGTCGACGTGTTTGGGAACGTTTGGGAACGAAAGAGCGATGAGTCATGGAGACGCTTTATTTACATCGCATGATTATGTCGCGTGTATGTAACAATAACTAACGCCTGTCAAGCAGTGACTGCATCACAATCTACGCGTGCGCGCCGATTCGTTTTGTCTTCATTACGCGTAGGCTATTTTAATGCATAGGCATTTCCTATAGTGAGGTTGTATAATGTGAGTGCTAATCACAATGTCAAAGTGCACTTACCCGTTGTTGTTGTTTTAAAATTCAGTACGCTGTAGTGTTGGCCGATGTGCAGAGTCAGATCCGCCCTCTCGTACAGTGCGCCTCTGTGATCGCAGGGCGACGCCCCGCCCCTTATTCACCTCGACCAATCACAATTCAGGAAAATTGTACTCGTTCCGCTATTCACTATATGCTGCTCTTGGACTTGAGCATCCTCTCGGTTCTTACATGCGTCCCCCACCAGTATTGATGGACAGCTAATGGACACAATGAGTATGCTGATGACTGATGAGAGGCAGGGAGATTCGCCAATCAATACATCAGCAACAGCGCGCTGAATTGGCACTGAATAGATCTATTTGGGCATCAGACCAGATGACATTGTATCGAGGAACATCAGACTGTCCGATGAGACGTGATACCCTTGTAGTTTCCTGTCCTTTATGCGAAAATGCATTTGAAAATCCCCTGGATGTAACCTCATACATTTATGACACCCGCGCTTTACAAGCATAGGCTGCGAGTGTAAAAGAGCATCAAGTGTTGTGGAAGGACGGAATTCTTCTATTGTGTTGTTTATCCGGTTCTGGAACATGATTAAGGAGCATAAATATACAAATATAACAATGATAGGCTAAGTGCAGGACTCCCTTTATTTTTGTAAATGGGTGTGTCTCTTTCTGCTGGTTTTTTATTACACTAAACCTGAGTTTCCTTTTAGGAGCTATGCCTGAATGAACAGTTCAATGAATTTTCCTTCTTGTTATATATACTATAGTGGTCTTAAAGTCATATTGCCAGGTTGAACTGTGTTTATTGTATGGATATGTTTCTATTTTAAATATTTAGGTGGGCCTTTTCTTATGCTTATTTGATGCTGAAAAGATATTTCAAAGGACAGTTATAGATTAGGTTGAGAGCAAAACAAGAAGTATCAATGAGCAGAAGGATATACATTACTTTTAGACTCACACAAACTTCCTGTTTTAATTTAGCAGTAGGCCTTCAGTGGAAATTGGTTAGACTTTCAGTTTCCCCTTCTAGCTCTATGGATTGAATCCACTGACATAAATATCACAGTCTTGAAAATGGATTTCATTGGTGTTTGCTGGCAGCAGCACTGCAGAGGTGGTGACATTTAGAAAAAGAAAAAACATTCTTTTTGGCACCAGAGAAACACAAGGAAAGGTTGACGGTTCTCTTTCATTCAGTCAGATGAGACGTGTTTCATAAACGTCAAAAGACTTGTGAATTATGTGAATTAATTTATTCAGTGTGAATTTGATTATAAGTTATTAAGAGAAAAAATCTGCACAATAATCAATTTATAGTACGCTAACAATAAATATTCCTACTTAGGTTTGCAATAAATTACATGTTATAATACATATGAACATTGCAAGCTATACTATTTCTATAAACCACATTCCCTATAAATATCTTTCACATTTATAGTATGGCTTACTACTGGATGTGTTTGGCATGAACCAGTGCTAACTGATTATATATGTATATTTCAAGACTAATTGCACTAATGATATGGATTATGATAAAAATAGATTTTCATTCATAAACTGTCTAAATCACATTTAACACATTTTGACACTTTGGCCAAACTGATGATTATATATTTAGAGTGATAACATATTCTCAAGGGAAAATCTGTGCAATTGATGGCCTTGAAAGATATAAACACATGCTTTCAGTCATGTAAACTACCGGCAAGTTATTCAGCAGGATTCACAGGTGTTCCCTGGAATCACTCACTCTGAGGTATTTCAGCTACTAGAGATGAGCTTTATCTCCACCCGAGATAACATTTCCAAATGACCATTTAAACCCTAATAAATCATACTCCGATGGGACTTTCCAGTGTATTGCTACAATATGTCCAAGACTTCCAAACAGACAATCAATTCAACACAAAACCACACTGTTAAAAAAAATTGATATGCTAATACAAATCATTACACTGACACCTCAAAATAACGAGAGAACACTTTCGTAAAATAAATTAAACGTTTTCAGTGAGAGGCAGGTAAAAAGCACGAGTACCGTTAGACCAGCTAACACAAATGTACCAAACTACAGGGACATTAATGCTGCCTCTTCGTTAGACTTTCTGAGGTAATTAATATGAACCTGAAGTAGAAGGTCTTCAAAGCATCCTGCCAACATTGCTGTGGTCCATTAGGATGTATGCATTGTTTTCCACTGAGATGCGAAATAAAAGTTTCAATCCTAACACCCAGGATTAGAGCCATGTCGTTTTTGGATTGAGGAATCATCCTCTACGTGATGTTGCACTAGCAATGATAGGCGTCTTGAACGCTCCAAATCTAACCTCAGTCCAGATTGTGGATGGTGAACAGTTCCAATAGGCTCCGCATCTAAAAAACTATAACTACCTCGATCAGCTATGACTGTCTGTTGGTGATCAGTGTGAGTTGTAAGATAATCAGGGACATTTGCTGCATTGTGGCCCATGCTATGTGGCCATCATCCCGTATAAGCCCCAGAAGGAGTCTCAGTGGAGGGCTGTAAGGAAGAGTCCAGGAGCTGGAGCTCCATTGCACCTGACAGACTTTCACTGGACTTTTTGGGACTGTCAGCAAAGTCGTGGGGGTCAAGTATCTAGGAAAAATCCAAGAGAATTAATTAAAGACTCATATGAGATTCGATGAAAATTCATGATTGTGAGAATTAAAGTTTGTGAAATACCTCAGAGAGAATGGCTGGTGTTTCCGTCTCTAAAGGGTTGACAGGATGGACCAATTTCTGGCCTGGTTTGGGTGAATTTGGAGATGCTTCTACAGGGCACGTCACAGAGCTGTAGGCTGGTGGAACCAGCACCATCTGCCTCTGAAGCAACTGCATTATGGCCCCCATGTCTGTTGACATGCGCTTCTCCAATCTTTGAAAAAAAACAAGACGACAAATACAGCTCAAGGTAAATGGATAAAGAGTAAATGATGCCAAGATAGCAACAATACTGTAGCGGGATCTCACCGGTGGAGCTGTCTCTGCATCATTTCCAGTCTATTCTCTACCTCAGTGCAATGACGATGGGTAACACTGTGCAGGACAGTATTAGAGGGCACCGAAGATGAGGGTAAGGACATGCTGTGGCTGGGTACTTCCTGGTACTGATGGCCACGACTGTCCCCCCAGAAGCTGAAGATGTTAGAAACCCCAGAAAGGGCGCCTAATTAAAGATAAAAGTAATGTCAAAATTGTGCATTCACTGCAAGAGAAGACTTGAAAATTTGGTCATTACATTTTCACACACTCATGTTGTTCCTGAATATCCTGATGACTTATTTCACTGGAGCATCAAGCACCATGAGTCTTCTGGAGTCATACAATAGATTTGTGTGAAAAACATACTGAAGTTTAAGTGGTTATACAATGAAAACCAGCCCAAATGATTCATTCATGAATCATATCTAGTTCTTGAGTTCTCACTGACTCAATGACCTGGCCGTAATGGTTAATAGCTCAATGGTTTGAAAGATTATCAGTGAATAATGACTTATATTTCACAATATTTGTGTGGTGCTTCTGCATCCTTTCGGAAGCTTGAAACCTTCAAAACCTTTAGGCTAATTTTGTTTTTCACAGAAGAGAGAAGCTTATACAGGTTTGGAACAACATGAGGGTGACTAAATTTTCATTTTTTTTCTGAATGTATCCTTTAAAAGCGTTAGCTCAGCCAAAAAAAGAAAATTCTGTCATAATTTCCTCACCCTCATGTTGTTCCCAATCCATTAGATTTTAACTCATCTTCGAAACACCAACAGATGTTTTAATGAACCTTGAAAGTTTTAGGTTCCTCCATTTAAAGTTCATTCACCCAAAACTTTAATACTTCAAAAATCGTAACGTAAATCCACATGAATCAAGCAGTTTAATCCAAGTCTTCTGAAGATACACAATCATTTTATAAACAGATTTAATTAGATATTTATTCACATAAAAACATTGATCAACACATACATACAGCGCATCAAATATGGCAAAATGGAAGCTCAAACATCAAAAAATATCTTCATTTATGTTTCAAGGATGAAGGAAAGTCTTATGGGTTTAGAACGACATGAGGGTGAGTAAATGTTTTTGGCTGAACTAACTTCTTAACTGAAAATAAATCCAGTTATGTCATTCAAATGAACATAAATGTTAAGATCTTTGTAATTCTTTTTACTCAATTTTTTTCTAGTCCACTTTTTTCAGGTAAGCAAATACGTAACACGTATATGATACACCTACTGTAAATTAAACAGTAAGTCAGTATTGACAGGAAAGAGATTAATCAGAATCCTACCTGACAGCGCATTGAAAGAGTTGCTGCTGTTGTGGTTCTTGTCTCTATTAGCATTGCTGACACTAGTGATACGGCTCTGAGAGCCGTCTACTATCGCAGTGGGCCGTCTGGTCTCTTCCTCTTCATCACTGCTGGATTGGGAGGCAAAAATGTCTGAGTGCCGATGAGCAGCTTGTCTATCCTTGTGCTGCTTGCTTGAATTCTGAGTTCTGAAAGTCGTTTTATTGAGATTTCCTTCCGTTTTCTCTGTATCTGCTACTAAGAGAAATTGCAGTAGAAATGAAATCCAAGAATCTGAAAGAATATAGAAGCTATCACACAGTGTTTGCTCTTACCTTGTGGCATAGAGTTTCTTTTGGATTGGAAGAACAGCTTTGCACTTCGTGTGTGATGGTCAAGACAGCCATGGTCAGAATCTTCAGTGTCACTGCTCATTGACCCAGCTTTAGTGTTAGTCTGTTGAGAAGATAAAGACAAACGTTCAAAAGCGCACCTACTATTAAAGTACTATTAAAGCACAGACATGTGCAAGCTTACATCTCTCAAGTTGAAGGTGATCTCCAGGTTGCTCCAGAAGTAGTCTGAGAACTCTGGATACATGTCCAAGACCTCCACTATATCATCTCTGTGGATTTTATGCAGGTCACAGTACGTCAGTGCTCTCACATCAGAACTTGATTTTCCAGGACGCGCATATAAGTTAATGGGCTCTCCGAATATATCATTCTTGCCTGAGGATAAGCCAAAGGAAGTGATATTGAGCCACATAATG